AAGGGATCTAAGACATCATCTAGATCAGATTCCAAAGATAAAACCTTTTAAAACCTTTTAATTAATAATTTAGAACACCAATATATAAATGATTTAAAAGGCGTTCTGCCTGCAGCTCCCCCTCCTTTCTATTCATCCTATTCACACCTACTTACCAGTCTCTAAGACACCTACAAAGAATTCTGGGTCCTGTAATGACATTTAAAAATGAGGGCGAACAAATCATTTTACAAGTACTTTGAAAATTCTTGAGAAGGCTCAGAACCTGTGCAGGAACAAAGATGATGAAGCAGAAGGCTTACATTTTACCAACTGTTGGCTCTAGCTTGTGAATTCAGGCTTAGAAAAATTTAAGTGATTAATTTCCCTTAACGTCACAAAGCAGTTAAAGCTAAATAGGAGAACAACTTCATTTGTGGTCTGGCGCTCTTTCCAGTACTTTCTCCAAACCAGACTCTCTTGGTCTTCATTGCCTCTTCTGGAAAACAAAGTGGTCTTAGACTGTTAGACTTTGAAGAGACCTTCAAGGACGATCAGTATTCTTTGCAACCCATTAAATGTTTCAATGCTCAAACATCCCTTATTTTGTAATCTTCCTCTTATCTCTTGAACAACTGTTTCCTAGTTTCAATTATTACCACAAGGTATATAAATTACTTTAAAAATCATTTGTGGGAAAAATGATAATTAAAAACAAAATTCAGATTCATAGTGCTAACCATGAGTAATTTTGAATACTTTATTATTTTAATACCCTTTTAAAGGCCAACTTAAAAATATTCACAACAGCTTTATTCATATAACCTTAAACTGGAAACAACTCAAAAGTCCATCAACAGGATGAATGGCTAAACAAATTATAATACACACCAAAGACTAGTCAGCTAAAAAAGAGGGAATGAACTACTGAACCCTGCATTAATATAGATGAATTTCAGAGCAGCTGGCTGAGTGAAAAAAGCCAGAAGCAAATGAGCACATCCTGTAGAATAATATTTATGTCAAGTTCTAAGTCAGGCAAATGCAAATTACGGTGATAGAGATCAGAACAGTGGAAAGGAAATGGAGAGTGAAGAGATTAGAAAGGGGCCCAAAGAGGGGATGGTTACATAGTTGTATACACTTATTAAAACTCAAACAACACACTTAAAATCTGTGTATTTATTGTATGTAAAAAGTACACTCCAAATTAAAAAGTTGTATAGACATCTAGAAAGCCACAGGAATCTTATTTTCTGCTTCTGAACTCCTGGGACAGAGGGAATATTAAGTATCAAAGAAAGATTCTCACAAAAAATTAAGAAATTGTTAGATAACAATTCTAAGTATAGACTCCCTAATCGTGAAAAACAAAACTTTTCATTTGGGTCAATAATTTAAAGAAAATATACGGACACAAAAATATCCACTGAAGCTAGCAGATAATAAAATATTTATTTTATTGTTGTAAAATTAAAAATAGTAGACAAGCATATGTAGTTACAGTTCCAAAGCAGAGCAATACAAATATATAAATTATTGCAGTTTTAAAAGGAAAATATAACAGCCAAGTAATGTCTAAATAAACTTTTTTGAAACCAACTTGGTTTTCATCACTGCAGCTTCATTTTCTTTTCTCAAAGGTCTTAGACAATTTTGTACGAATTTCTACTCAAGTTTAAAGCAACATTAACACACACACAAATTGTAAAAGTATGAATGGCATTTAACAGAAGTCACTACTGAACACTTCCTAAAATGCCTCTTTTGGAGGCAGTAGAATGGAAATAAACATTCTACACGTTTGAAAGAAGAAACACACATTTACTAAAATTCCCTTTGCTTTCTGTGCAGTTGAGGGAAGTTCAACTAACACTTTTTCTGAAGAGAGGGTGGAGGGCAATACTCATCTTCATGATTTTTAAACTTTTTAATTTGGTAGGATTAAAATTGCAGACTAATTCAACATCACTGAAATGCATTAGTAATCTGGATTATTTTAAACTAAAAAGAATAGGAAAAGCATATGTTACAAACTAGGTGCTCAAGAAATCTCAACGCTAGAGACTTGCTATGATATGGTTCATAGCAAGGTGACCAAGCTGCTTAATAGGTTAGACTACATTATCATAAGGGCAGTTATGAAAGGATGAAGTGAATGAAAATACTTAAGACGCTGGACAGAACCTTGTTATTCCAAGCACAGTAGTACAGCCCCCCTCCAAGATACCTTTACTTGTGCCAGAGCCTTATTACCTTATTATTTTGGTAATAAACTCTCTCCCACCCCACCACCACAAATTTCCTCAAATAATTATTTCCACCAACCTAAAGTTAAAAATGCAATTGAACACTGAAATGAAATCAATTATCTTTGCTTTTCAGCCACATCTGAACAAAAGATATTTTTAAAAAATCTATTTGTAGAGTACTAAACTTTTTATTAAGTACTTAAAATTACTCACATATCTTACTTTAGCATAAAAATAACACTACAAGAACTTTACACTGTACCATTTGAAAATTTTTTATGTCACGTAACTTAATTTTATGGTCACTAACCTGAACCTCCTACTAAGCTACACAAATAATTTCTTTAAAAGTTCCTACTGAGGTTTTGAGCATATACATTTTGTACTACATTTTACAACATTAATAACACTAGCAGATTTCTTCCAAAACAAAACAAAATAAAGCCAAAACTGGTAAACATTAACACATTCATCCCAAAATATTAAAAAAAAAACCCAAAATGCGGCAAAAACTGACTGAAAGCCTCAACATTGTAAACACCTAGGTAAAAAAAATATATAAACAAAAAAGAATGAACTTTAAACCATTTTCAGTGGTAAAGAATACAGTAAAATAAAAAACCCGAGGAATCTCAAGATGCTTGTCAAGATGCCAACAACAAAAGAATATATTTTGACTATATTTCTGAAATCACTTTCCAACATGAATTTCTTGTAAAAACAATCCTCAAATGCATATAAAAATGGGCACTTTGTGGTGAAATGAACATATAATTTGAAAAACTAACAACATTTCTCTGCTCCAACACTGTGTGTAAGCAACTACATAATAGAAAGAAACACTATCCTGCTGCCTGCATGCATCATCTATTATTGGTCTCTTAAGTGCATGCCTTTAAGAAAAAAAAGACTAATTTGGATACTAAATACTAGGATCAAAGGATAATAATCGCAAAGTAAATACGTTTTTAGCTTAAATAAAAGGCTGCAAGCATTTTAAATCTTTAAAGAGAACAATCTTGTGTGGTCAGAATAACTTTAAACAACAGATGTTTTAAACTTAATTCAACTTGTCTAATTATGAAATCTAAAGTGAAAAAAATATTAGACTTATTTCACTCCCTTTAGTCACATAAGCTGTGAAGATGACAATAATGGCTGATTAGCAGTCTCTTTTTTTACCATTTTTGAAACTAAAGGTATATGTGAGGTTTTCTTCTAAACTTCCTCAAAAAGTACTAACAACTCTGCAGAAAAATAGCCAAGCATGGTAACCAATATTTGCGGTATTTCATGTTCTCTGAAAACTCAACCCTATCCCTTACCCTTATTTTAGCATATACAATAATTGAATATTCAAGAAAACTAACATAGGAATATAAAATAAGTTTACCAAATATTTGGATAAACTGCTGTGCAAAATACTTTTTTCAAAAATTTTTTTTAACTAGGATATCCTTCCAAATTAAGTACTAGTGCGAGTACCAGCACCACAGGTATTTTTTAAGAGCACCTTGCCTTTGAAGGGCTTAAGTAAGAAATATCTAAATGGAATAAATTAGACTCCTCAATTAAGACCTTGGTATATACGCCCCCATGCAATTGTGCCAAACTCATTAGTAATGCTATAAATTCGCCAGAAACTCTAAGAAATAAGCAAACACTTTCTTTGGATAACACTGTTATATTTGGGACTGCACCATATGGCTCATGTTCTGGCAACAAGCTACTACTTACATCAAAGGCAACACATCCCAAACTTTTACGACTGTCCCTAAGTGACCTAAATAGAACCACAAATGTGTAGAAGCACCCTGGCTGGGAAGATTCTTAATGAATTATGTCAAAAAAGAGTAAAGTCAAATTTGAAAATCTGACCATAACAACGAAGCACTGAGATACTTATCGGCTTCATCAGGAAATGTCTTTATTCAACTTATAGTTGTTTATAGATTTTGATATTGCACACATTCAATTAAAGCTTATCACAACTAAGGCAATGCATTCCCACTCCCTGGATTTTTTTTTTTTTTTTTTTTTTGTGGTACGCAGGCCTGTCACCGCTGTGGCCTCTCCCGTTGCAGAGCACAGGCTCCGGACGCGCAGGCTCAGCGGCCATGGCTCACGGGCCCAGCCACTCCGCGGCATGTGGGATCTTCCTGGACCGGGGCACGAACCCGTGTCCCCTGCATTGGTAGGCAGACTATCAACCACTGTGCCACCAGGAAAGCCCCCACTCCCTGGATTTTAAATTCATTCTGGGTGACTCAAAGGATTGAGAGAAGTTGAAAACATCTTTCAAAAGCTCCCTCCGAAAAGCAGTTATGTCATATTTCAAAGAAAACAAAATCAGTGAGATATCAATTGATATCCTCAGGCAAATTTAACACATTTTAGCGTTACAAAAAGTTGTTTTCTACTAGATTGAGGTGTTTCTTTGCTTAGTCAAATACTCTTTGTGTTCAAGACTAAAATCTGACCCAAACCAGGGCAGGCTGCCAAATTTAAGGCAGAAGTTATTCATATCTTTATGTGTGAAACTGCCAAGTTAATGGGCTTTTCTGTGGATTCTTTCAAGCAAAGGATCTTACCTCATAAATACATTCTAAGTACTAGTTGAAAACAGAATTTAGAGCCCATTTTAATTCTGCATTGGTTATAGCTTTTACTATATTATTTGAAAACTTATCTAGCTGTTTGAGACAAACTATTTGTTCAGAATTCTTTGGAAACATGATAGGCAATAAGAGTATCCTCTTAAAAATGGACTTTTTTTTTGAATTAAGAGTTCTGTTTTTCTGTGACTAGCAATCTTCTCTTTTCCTTTAGATTCTAAAGTTTAGAAAATGCTTTCTTTGGGCACTACTTTCAGTGATGTTGATAACAGAATTTGGACAGTTGAAGGATTCTTGAACTTTTATCTTAAGTGGTACACAAAATGATTTTAATTTTTTTCAAAGATAGGACAACAATTTCATGGCATATTATATTTGAAGATAGACATTACATTTGACTTGGAAGTGAGACTTTACTTAAATTCTGTCCAAATCTAACACATCAAAGTCATTAGGATGAAAGTAATAATGACGTAGAATAGGCTTTTACTTCTATGGAGACAAGCTGACATACAGAAACTAGATTAGCATTTTCTTCTTGGACTCATAACTGTTTTTGTTAGAAAAAAATAATGTCTTTTATTTTCCTGTATACTTGCTTTAAAAAGTTATTAATTCCTCTTTCATAAGAGTTATTAGAAGTCAAAACAATTCAACTAGATAGATTTCTATGCCAAAATACATTTATCTTTGGAAAATAAGATAACAGCTGTAAAAACATTATTAAGAGAATAAAATGCAGTGATCTGAAATATGGGTAACATTCACACATGAAAGTGTAAATATAATATACAGAGCCATTCAAATACACATTTATAAACAGAATGAAAAGGTACCTAAAATACTATTTTTATATATAAAATTTTCATATTAAAATATTGCTCAATAAATAAGAGGTGGTATTATGAATTCCATTTACCTCTTAAATGTTATCTTTAGTAGTTTAGACTAACCTAAGAACTTTGTTAACCTTCTGTTGTTCTGACAGGTGAATTACATTAAACCATGTTTAACAAAGTCACACTCTAACAGTATATTTAAGTAGTCACATATGGTAAAAGTTAGGGAGGGCTGTTTAGTAATTATGGGAAAAAAGATTTCCCAAATGAACCAAAATGATTAACCCTAGAAGACTAGGGTGTAATGATCTGCTTTATTTGACAAAGATGTTAAACACTGCCTTAAGTTTTGCAAATTTAATGACCATAAAATAATTGACCATAACTTTCTTCAACTTCTTCAAAGTGTGCATGCCCGGCAGGCCAAAAAAATGGCAGGCCATAGGAAGGACGTGTAAGTTTAGAGTTCAGTTGTTTATGGGTAGGTGTGACTTCATTCCCGTTCGTCCCATTTGCAGACACGGTAACTTAGAATAGTTCTTGAGAAGCTGTTCGATGGCAATGTGGCGGACATGGAGCTCTGAGGCCAAAGAATCTTTTTCTTGCACTTGGTGGGCTAACTCTTCAAAAACTTCTGTAAAGATTTAAAAAGTAGTTCCATTTTTAGTACACAGAAAGCTAATCTATGATTTATATTTCAAGTACTTTAATTAAAATGAATGCACTGGGCAAATGTTTGCAATGAAAGTAGTTTGAAACCAAGGAAACGGTTGTGTTTTGATCATCCTAGGAAGTTGTATGCTTTGCATAGCCAACTGGAATACTGTTTTTCTTTTCTCCATCAAATGAAACTTGAGAGTCAAGCAATGACTTAGAGATGCATAGCAGAAATGGCAGTTACAGCTACCTCTGAGATACTTTTCTCAATCTGAACAGATAAACAGGTTCAATCAATTTCTAATATGACTTATGGACAGTAAAGTGCCCATTAATACCCAGGTCTGGAACCCCCCCAAGAGGCTTTGGAATCAGACTACCGGAGTTTTGAATCCTTGTTCTGACTCTCACGAGTCTCAGGCAAGTAACTTAAACTATGTTTTTTTTTTTTTTTTAGTAATTTATTTGTTTTTGGGTCTTCGTTGCTGTGCGCGGGCTTTCTCTAGTTGCGGTGAGCGCTTCGTTGCAGTGCTCGGGCTTCTCATTGCAGTGGCTTCTCGTTGCGGAGTGCGGCTCTAGGCGCACGGGCTTCAGTAGTTGTGGCTCGTGGGCTCAGTAGTTGTGGCTTGCGGGCTCTAGAGTGCAGGCTCAGTAGTTGTGGCGCACGGGCTTAGCTGCTCTGTGGCATGTGGGATCTTTCCGGACCAGGGCTCGAACCCATGTCCCCTGCAATGGCAGGTGGATTCTTAACCACTGCGCCACCAGGGAAGTCCTAAACTATGTTTTAATTTCTTCTTATATATAACCTCGATAATGAAAGTAAGCACCTCACAGGTTTATTGTGAGTATTAAATAAGATCATACTTGTACTTACCGCAGAATAAGTACGTGATAAATATAAGGTGCTATTATTATTATCTTATTATTCTGAGAGGGTGTGTGGTCAAGAAAGACTACTAGCTTTGGAGTTAAAGACAGGGGTTATAATCCTTAATCTGTTACTGACTGAAAGCATGATCTAAGCAACTAAAGCAACTGCAAGCAACTTAATGTCTCTGAAGCACAGTTAGTTTCCTCACCTAAATGGAAATCAATTGCAGGAAAAAAAAAAAAAAAAGAAACAGTTGGGGAATTTGAACACTGTTTCAGCATCCTATTTGATGATGTTAACAAATTACTAGCCATTTTTTTTTAAAGATGTGATAGAGGTTGTGATTGCCTAAAAAATGATGTTATTTTTTTGAGAAAATCCTACACTATTTACGGACAAAACAAAATGTTGTCTGGGATTTGTTTTAAAATAATCCATGCCGGAGGTAGGGGTGGGTCGAGGGGAATGGGTGCACGCAGAGATGAAGGAAAATTAGCTATGCTTTTGATTATAGTTGAAACTGGGAAAGATGGGTCAACGGTTCCACTATACTATTCTGATTACTTTTGTGTTTAGAAAATTTAATAATAATTAAGAAAAAACGGGGCCAATACCACCTGCCCTAAAAGAACTGCTAAGGAGCACACGTGCACAGTGCCTGGTACAATAGTAGGTAGTCAAAAACATGTTAGTAAGAGGTAGAGATTAAGTTGTCTCCGTTTTCACCTAAAAAAGAAACTATTTCACCTGCAGTTCATAAAGAATAATAATAAGAATTCTTTTTGCTCTGGAAACTCGAGCAGGTTCTAATCCCATAATTTAAATGCAGATGAAGCTAACAGGGGATTTTCTGTATCAAAATTTGCACATGTAATAAGCACTGACACTGAGTCTTTACCCTGTATTTGTTGTCGGAGCTCTGCATTCAGTTGCTTTACCTCACCAAGAGTCATCGAATTCACTGAAACATGAAAACATATTCATTATTACCATGACAACCTGGGAAAAGAAGTTATCTACACCACCAACACAATATCCTATTTAAAAGAAATATTTGCACTTATCTTCCCACATAACATTCTGCAGGGCCCCAAGATTCATTCATTAACTCCTAAAGTGTTGAGTTTTCAAGTTCTGACCACAACCCACAGTAAGAAACATTTCACTCCCAGTCTACCTCCACCTGTAATAAAACGTTCACTGAAAAACTCTTAGCATTAGGTCCAATGGATTCTGCTATTTCTCATTCTGTTTCAGTTTTTAAAAAGTGCTAGTCACTACCCATCAAGTTGATTTTGCTTAAGCACTACATGCTTCATGATGTGTAGCTTGAAAAACACTAAAGTGCTATGGAAATAGTTTGAAAAATCAATTTGTCTACCTAGCTATATAACCTTAGATAATTCATATGCAGAATCCCAAGCGCCCTTCTAGCTCTAAGATCACTTGATTTTAAGTCAATTAAAATTATCTTAGCTTCTATGAGTTTTTGAAGAAATAATATGCAGACTGAATGAGTCACTTTTTCCAAGTACACACATTACCTTTGGCCTTTAGTGAAATGTCAGATTTCTGCTTTTGAAATGCCACCCCCAATTAGTCTTGTAGGGATTAGCAACGTGCCAGTGTGTGTTTGTCAATGGTTGAGGCTGTACTTCTAAACTATATGAACCCTGAACTTTCCAATTCACAGTTGTCGATTCCATTCCGTTAATAATTTAAAATGGCAAAACAAATGATGGGCCTGCAGAATTCCAATGGTTTAGGACCTACTAAGGAATATTCCAAAGAAATGACGAAGAGTTTTAAGACATCTCATTTTTTGCTAGGGTGAACCTGTCATTTAAATACTGTATTTACCAAATCTATAATATCACAGCAAAATTCTTGACACATCACATATATAAAACATATAAAACCCCAACAAAACTCCAACCTTTACCTTTTCTCCCTATTTTTACTTACATTCTTCTCTGCTGTAATGTGGATGCTGGGTTTGGACATTAGCCTCTGGACTAGAGACTGTCTCTTCTTTTTTCTGTTCCTGGTTGTGACTATGAGGCCACAATTGACTATTGTGGCATAAAGTGGCACCTGAATCTTGTAACACAGCAAGCCCAAAGTCCGTATTTTCCCTCTGTTCCAATATTCTTTGTGTACAGTTTGAGAGGCCACCTGCATTTCCATCTATCCACTTTGCAGAATACTTTGGTACTTGGGAGTCAAACTGTGGGAGTAACTTTTTATCTGGCTTATGCCTGAAATTAAACAGGTGATGCTGGGGATTTTTAGAACATTCGGAATCTGAATCCAGATCCTTATTTTGTGCATATTGTACAATCCAGTTTATCTTCTTACTCAAAATGGTTTTAACTTCTTCATAAGTACTTTTTGAAAGCTTAGATCGAGGACACTCCTGGTTTGCAATCAAATGGTATTTTTCAAAGCAGTCTTTATGGCCCCTTAATGATTTGGTGTGCAAGAGATTAGATTTTGGTATTCCTAAAGAAAAAAAAGAAACAGAAGACTTGAGACAGTTTTGTTTTTTATAAGGTGCATTGAGAAATACAAATCTTAGTAAAACACAGTCACTGATAATTTGTAAATCAGAGGAAAAATGCTGAAGAATATTGGTATTAATATAAAATACAGACTAATAATTTATGCTTCAATTTAACTATTCAGTAAATTCTGAATAGCAGAAATATTAAATTCTTATGAATAGTAAAGCCTTTCTAAGGGCTTAATGATTCAATTTCAACCTCAGCCCAGAGGCATGTTGTTGCATAATATTAAAAAATACTACTGAACCAGCAGTTTACATTTACAGAATCTTGGCCTTGATATTATAGTGCTTTCTTCACTAATCCTCCTGAAGTACACACTTGAAAAAAATTTCTATTATAGGCTCAATAAGAGAAATGCTTGACAATTTTTTTCCCAACAAAAAACACAGTAAATCATGAACTTAAGTTATTAGTTACGTTTTTACTGGGGAAAGATAAACCAGAACCAGAAAAATACACATTAATAAAAGCCTCAAAAAGTCGATGAACTGTTTATTTTTTTAAGTAAGAAAAGCATCTAAAATGTTTTCACATGTTTGATACTTATTAAAACTTTATCAAGATAATTTTATCTCTAAAAGAAATGCATTACACACAATTATTACTCATATAGCAACACATTCAGTCTACCAAGATACAATAGCCAGTATAATTCTTGAACTCACAAGTGTTCATTATGCACCATAAATAATGGAAATATTCATATTACATGTTTATGTTTCCCAACTTTTTAGTACGGCTTAAGCATACTATCTCAATTGTGTTTTAAAATACAGAATACCTTTTCAAATACACAACACACTTCCAAATATAGAATACATTCATACATTTTCGTAAGTTCAAACCATTTAAGGTCAAACAGCAGTGCTTTTATACTGAAGGTGAATAAGGGATGTGGAACTGAAAATTAATGCCTGCCAGAATTAAGCAGTCTAAATCTGCTTAGCTTTGAAAACAGAGTAAGTGGAGAGCCACTCAGGTGCTAGGTTAAAAAAAAAGTTTTAGCTGACTTCGTCAGAAAAAATTACATTCTGTATTCACCCCTTGTTTTAAAAACTGAAGTTGTAACAATTTTATTAACTGAACTGCAAATGCTGGCTAATACTAAGATAATGAAGTATTTGTGCTTTAATGGCATCAAATCAGGTATAAAAGTGCTTGCGAATACCAATTTGTTCCAAAATGACATAACATCAGCCAATGGTAGGTCCTGCTAAGACTGCCAAAACCAGTGCTAACTGGGCTGTCAGTTCCCTCACAAGTAAGCTATGGGGCATGCCTCCTAAACACTAACAGTCTAAGCAGACGAGAGTCAACGACTCTCACCAGGAAAACTCAACTATCTCAGCCTTGTTTCTTCCACTGAGTGTAAAAACTGAACTTAAACAGAATTTCATACACGTTTTATTTACCCCTTTGGTACCTGTACTGCAACTGTGTGTATACATATTTTTTACCAGTTATTGTCTGGTTGGGTCAAATTTCCAGCAGAATTAAAATATTTAAGTGCAAAACCTCACAGCTGTATTTCAAAACCTGGTAAATTAACATAAAAAAGGAAGTTCACAAACCTTGATTAGAATAAAAATATTAAAAGTATTGTTATTATGCATGTTTCATATCATAAGACAAAAAGGTAGTTAGTATCAATTATAGACAAAATAAGAAATACCTCCATTCTGCTGTTTGATTCTAATACTTACTGCTAGGCAGAGAGAACCTGATAGCTTGCTTACTTTACTAACTTTGGAGGATTCATTAAAGAGCTTCCTTACTCTTTATAAACTCTCTTAGGGCTCACTGGCCTAAGATGAGGCTGACGGCTAGCTAATCCCTGAAACAGTAAACAGTCTCATTCTCACTCGGTCCACTGCCACAGCACTAATCATGTAGCAATGCTTTAGCTGAATCTAAACACCGTAAATTGTTTCTCCTTTACTATGTATGAAAGGAAATCCTTCAGCATATAAAAAGGGTTCTAAACTAGGCTACAGAAAGGCATTATTTTTTGCTGTTTTATATATATATATATATATATATATATATATATATATATATATAGTGTGTGTGTGGCGGGGGGGTACGCGGGCCTCTCACTGTTGTGGCCTCTCCCGTTGCAGAGCACAGGCTCCGGACACGCAGGCTCAGCGGCCATGGCTCACGGGCCCAGCTGCTCCGCAGCATGTGGGATCTTCCCGAACCGGGGCACGAACCCGTGTCCCCTGCATTGGCAGGCGGACTCTCAACCAATGTGCCACTAGGGAAGCCCTTGTTTTTTCGGGTTTTTAAAATTTTATTTGGAATGTTCAGAAATTGTATTAAAAAAAGATAAAAAATTATATGAAACAAATTTCCTGATGTACCCCACAGCTTCAACAACAAATCAGTATGATGGATGTTTATTTGAAGACTAATGTGGGCTTTTAAAGATATTTTTCCCCAACGCTGCTTCTTAGTAATTCATGTAATATAACTTTTTGTCCTCCAGAAATAATTTTTTAACTTTTACTTAAATCCCCAAATGAATGCTTGGAACCCGGTAAGCACATGATTATATGCATATTGGTAATCTGCTGAGATAAACAGCAAGTCAGAGAACTACAATATTCAATTTAATGTGAAAATACATAAATGTAAAATAAATTTCCGATTCAGACACTCAGGTGAAAAATCCCCTATAAAAGACATAAAAAAATTCACGTCAGGAAGAGTTCTGAATGTGGGAAATATTTCTACTTAGATGTCCCATAGGCTTCTGAAACTCACCCTGCCTAAATGACACTCCTCTTCCTCCATTTTTACCACCCAAACCCAATCTTCTTCCTGAGTCTGGTACCACCACCTGCTCAAGGAAGAAACCTGGGTGTCCTCCTTGACAGTTCTTCCCTGCACCCCCATCCCAGATGTTTTACTGTCCATCTTAACAGATTTTTTTCCCCCTAAAGTCTAGCAGTACAGCATATTAAATCCTCCTTCACTCCATTATTACTCCCACTACATTATCTGGGTCTTCCTCACCATCCCATCTAGTTCTCACTTCCTCTAAAGAAGCCTTTTCTAACCAGTAACATCTGAGTTAATCACACCAGACTGTACAGTTGCTTCTTCACTGGCCTTTATCCCCTGCTAGAAGGTAAGTTCTGTGAGAAAGGGGACCATCTGTTTTATATGCATCCTTATTGTCATAGTGCCTGGCACACAGCGAATACTCAAGGAAAATTAAATGAATAAAGGAAAATTAAAATTATATTAAAAAACAAACCTAAAACTTATTACCAGTTATTATTTGAGGTCTACTGCCATGAAGTTTTGCCCATCCTAGCAAGGTAAGTAGGACGTGCAATTAGGCCAGGCTCTCAGAAGTTAATTAAAGGCATCTTCCAGTAAAGTTACTCCTATGTTTATAGTTTAACGTGCCATTAGTCCCAAGAACTAATGAGTGGCACTGATACAGAAATGGCATTCCTGTGGCATCGTTCAATTGGCCATACAAAATCAGGAACTTCTATTCAATTACATATTTTCATTAGAAATGTACATACAGTGAATATACAAGAAGGCTATTTTATGTATACTGTAGCTCATTCATCCAGATCTGTACCTGTAACTTCTTTAGCTCACTAAAAATTTAAAACTTGAATCAGTTTTAAAGTTCAATTTGAAAATGTTTGTCTTATAAACATAGCTTAAAATATGCAGTAGCAGAAGAAACAAAAAATTTAATACACGGACTACTTCGTATACTTGAACAAATTACTTTTTAATCTAGAAAAGAATGTGAGTAGCCCACTTAATTTGTATCAGCAATATAGGTGTCATTGTATAAACTCCTGAAGTGATTTTTTTTTTTCCACTTTATCAGTTCGAATATAAGAGTAACAACCACTGCTATTATCAGAGATCCCAGTGAGTTTCCCAACTGACTTTACAATTTTAATTGCATTTACAAGTGTAAACAGCTCTGAGTACCATTTATTTCTTCAGCAGCTTTTGAAAGGGAATGAATCTAAATGCAATTAAATAAGTTGATACTTTTGAGAACCTGAGTTATAAGTAATTTTCAAACCAGTTCAACAAAAATTGCACTGAAACTTCCTTACTAATAAAAATTCTGAGGGCCAATATAATTGACACCTTAACTATCATAAAATCTTTAAAACATAACACAAAGATGTCCATGTAACTGTGTCTTGAGTTCATGATTATTAGAGAACCAAGACCTTACTTGGCAACTGTAATTGCTAATATTTTTTAGAAGTATGTACTAGTTTCTTCTGGATAGAGGCTGTTTAGAAATTTATATAGGCGGTACATTTCTTTTTTATTTATTTATTTATTTTTGGCTGCGTTGGGTCTTTGTTGCTGCGCGCGGGCTTTCTCTAGTTGCGGCGAGCAGGGCTACTCTTCATTGCGGCGCGAAGTCTTCTCATTGTGATGGCTTCCCTTGTTGCTGAGCACGGGCTCTAGGCACGTGGGCTTCAGTAGTTGTGGCTCATGGGCTCTAGAATGCAGGCTCAGTAGTTGTGGCGCACTGGCTTAGTTGCTCCGCAGAATGTGGGATTTTCCTGTACCAGGGCTTGAACCCATGTCCCCTGCATTGGCAGGTGGATTCTTAACCACTGTGCTACCAGGGAAGCCCCTAGGCAGTACATTTCTGTATGAACAGTGGTATTTTAAAAAGTTAAGCTGTTTCTATTCAACAGTTTTCTTTTTAAAGTCTTCCCACTTTCATTTCTGATTTTGTTACACCATTCTCACATACTTTGAAAACCCTCCCACTAACCCATCTGGCATGCTATCCCCATTTTTATTCTTTAAATTCCTCTTTAGGATCAATTTGCTTTAAGAAAACTCGGTTATACTCATAAAAGAGCAAGAGCCACTCAAATGTAGATCTTCCTGTCTACCTATCAGTGTCACCCTTTTAAAACAAAG